CTTACAAGCATTTGTCCCTGTGCTATAATACAGTTACCTTCAGGCACAGGTACTACTCCACCCATGGGCTATGTGACCATACCATCCACCCCATCGCTAACATCCCCAACACTGTCTACATCACTTGTCCTATCTGACACTTTGTCCAACTCCAGTCCTTCAACATGGACACACAGGCCACATCTAGAGGGCAGTCTTACACCATTTCATAGGCTCCCATCTCTCACTGCTGCCACTTCTTTCCCTCATACAGATAACTCTTGACCCTCATGGGTCTCAGTGACCCTGCCTCCTCTTCAAAAACAAAAGACATATGACTATGAGTGTATGCATACACAGCTACACTACAGCCCATTTCACAATGAGTTCTTCCCCTACTTTTTTGGTCCCTTCAACATACACACACAATTCTGCTTGTACAAACATCCTTCCTTTTGCTATTTACAAAGACATCCCCCATATGCCCTTTCTTGCCCTAAGAGATATCTCTGTGCCACAATTTACCTAGTAGGTACATACACTCCCCCAACACACACACACACACACACACACACACACACACACACACACACACAGAAATAAAATGTGTTCACCCATCCCTAACACTCCCACCCAGGGCCTTTATACCCTAGCTCTTCCATGAACATCCACAGAAAGGCGAAAGATACAGCTCTCCCCATAAGCTCATTCACTGCCTTGTCTCTGGTGCTATCTCACTCCCCATCATGGCCACCTTATACCACTCCCAGGTCCAGCTGTTATGCCTCCCCCAGGCCATAGTACACAGGCCATGCCCTTTTCTCTTGTGTGTATATCACCAACCTTCCCTGTACCTCCATTCCCCTAGGCTCTAGACTCATGACCTTGTGTGAACATCTAAAATCCATATCACTCTATTCTCTCTTCTGATCATACTTCCTGTCTCTAACTTAATGTTCCTTCAGGTGGCCTGACCAGATTTTGTGGTGTCTCACAACCAGCCAGACTCCATGAATATACAGAAAGCACTCCTTCTTACTGCATATTGAAGCAGAATCATACGTATACTTCCTCCACTTCTCACTTTCTCCTGAGTGCTGCTGCCTGGTGGTCACACCCACATGGTCCCCTCTAAATTTCTCTACAAATGAAACAGCGAGCACCCAACAGTGGTCATTGGTGCTTACATGCTCCATTCTCAGAGGGAAGAAAGTCACTTGTCATCCATGTACCTGACTTTCTCCCAAGCTTGACTCATACTGGCTACCTCCTGCCACTTTCTATCTCTTCCCTAGTTGAAAGAGAAACAATCAGTGAGGGGAGAATGCATATCAGGTTCCTTACCTGAACTAACTTGCCATGCAGAACCCTGCAAAGCTCCTCGTTTCTGAACCAGGAGCCTGGCATTCTCCACTGTAGGGGATTCCTGCACAGTAGAGAAAGGTCCCACCTCCATTCTGTCTTCATCTTCATCTTCTTCCTCATCTTCATCATCGTCATCGTCATCGTCATCATCGTCATCATCATCGTCGTCATCATCATCTTCATCACCATCTTCATCGTCATCTTCAATTCCCTCTTCATCTTCCAGGTCATCGTCATCATCTTCTTCATCATCTTCTTCCATCTGGTCTTGCAACACTTTTTTCTCTTCCTTCTCTTCTTGATTGGTATCATTATGGCTGCCCTGTTCCCCCTGCTGCTGGGCCTTTCCTTCAGAACAACAGTTAGAACCAGCTGGTTTAAGACCCCAATATAGGCTATCCAGTGTGTATGGAGACTTCACGCTGGGGGGAGCCTCTGATCCCTCTTTCACCTGGCTGTTTTCTCCATTCTGAGTATAAATGGAACAGATGCGCAGCAGCTTCTCCTGCTCCCCATCTGGCAGGACCTGTCCCATGGCTTTGAAGACACTGAGAAAATGGAGGGATGGGGTAGGAAAGATTCAAAATCTCAAGTCACTTCCTACCCCAACACTCTAGGGTTTGAACTTGGTCCCTGAGCTTCTACATCAGCCTCTGAAAGGCAGTGAGTAGAGCACACAAAACACAGAAACAACAGGACCATGGAACCTGAATAAATTCTTTGGTTCATCTCTGTACCTCACTTCCATTCTCAGTAAAATGAGGACAATAATGATACCTAACTTCTAGGTTCCTTGAGATGAGTAAATAAGAGAGCTCACATAGAATGCCTGGCACAGTGCCTGGCACATAGTGGGCATGCAATAAATGATAGCTATTAGTCTGTACTGAAACACTACATAGAAACACAAACTAGCCAACAGGCCTGTCAGGCTGGAAATGAGAATGGCAGATCCCTCTCTCCTCTGGCCTGGCTGAACAATCTGTCCTGAACTCCAAGGATATGCCTAATGTGTGCTGGGCTCCTTCTGAGTGGAACACAATATGTGATCCCTTTATGGAACAGCTACAGCCTAGCCTGGAATGGAAAAAAAGAAAAAAAAAAGCAGCAGTTGACAAGACAAAGCAGGATGTGAAAGGGAGGCCTGATGAGCATCATAGACCTTCTAGGGGAACTATAGGAATGGGGGCAGGCAGAGAGCACAAGGAGGGAGGAGCAACTGAGGGCAGGTTTTGTGCTGGAAGTGAGGCCCAGGAGGACCAGACAAAGAGCTAGCACACTGCATTGCTGCGTGTGGTGAGAGTATCCTGGCTAGAGGGCAAGGCCAGTGCTGAGGATCTACACCAGGAAGAGAGAGCTGGGAAGGGAAGTGTGTGTGTTGGGGACTGGGTCGCCTGCCAACTGAGCACTGGTGAAGGCTGCCTGTCTGAAGATCACCATGGTCCCCATGGTGGGGGCTGGGTAGGGCAGCATTGAGGCAGGGCAACCAGGGAGGAGGCTGTTTGGACAGCTCAGGCCAGAATCTGTGAGGGCTGGCCTAGGGCGTTGGCAGGGGAGATGAGAGGGAGAAGCTGGGAAGGACAGATAGACAGAGAGCAGGGCTTGGTGACCGATGGCAAGGGTCAGGCAGAGGGGAATTAAAGATGATGACATTGTGCACACAACAGACGGTGCTAACAACAAAACCACCAACAGATACAGTTGCTGGGGAGGAAGAGGGCAAGCCTTCCTCATGGAGCCTTGCATAGAAGCTAGCACCTACCAGGCACCTAGGCCCTACTGGACAGGTGGGTAGGGTGGAGGGATGGGGAGTGTCCTTCCGGGTGTATGGAGTGTGAACTGCATGGTTCATGGAGGGACCACGTGTCCAGTGGACTGTTTGTTCTCTCAGCACCCAAGGATTGGTCACATATGCCCGGCCACTGGGCTGGGGGCTAGGGACTTGACTGAGAGAGTATCTCTGCGGGCCAGTTTTGTACTCCATGAGGACCTTGGTTCAAACTGAATTGATATTGGCTGGCTGTGGGAAGCTCTTGAAAAGCTTCCAGCTTTATTAGAGGAAGAGCTAGAGTAACTCTCTGCCCTCTCACTGTGGTCCATTAGTGTGATTAATAATAAATATTCTCAGGCACTCGATATTGGCAAGAAGCCTTATCACCACTGTTTGTTATTACCCACCCACCATCTCCAGCTATCCAGTCGGACCACTCAGGTGCAGGGTGATACAATCTCAAAAGACATTTCCTCCCTTGTGTATGCCTGGTCACAGCTCAGGACTGAGACAGTCACAGGTTCCAGCTGATGGAAAGAAGGTAGACTTCAAACTGACAGGACCTGGGCCCAGATCCCTGCCCCACTGTCCACTATACAAACCATGTGACTTTTGGATAAGTCACTTCACTCCTCGGAGCCTCAATATTTTATCTGCTAAAGAAGGGTAACATACCTCCATCTCCCAAGATTGCTGTGTCAAACTAAGTGAAATAATCTCTACAAAAAAACACAGCACCATGCCTGACACTTAATTGCCAGTGGTATCTTTTTATTTTTTTTCTCTGGGGAAAACAAAAGCCAAGTTCTGTATTCATCTAATAACAGATGCTTTCTGTAACAATACATTCTATTAGAGCATTATGAAGAACATGGGACTATAGACAGGCTACCTGGATTCTGGCCCCAGCTCTGACTTGCAGCATCATACCTGAGCACATCCCCTTTAATCCCCACTCTTTGTAATGGGGTGATTAGGAATAAATTCAACTGGTTATCTGGAAAAGGCAGGATCTGTGCACAAGAAATCGTACCCAAGTAAGCCGCTGTTACTGCTGGCATGTGTCGCATCCCTCTGGTATGCTTGGGTTGGGAGAAGATCTCTGTGGTCCAGACTTCTCCAAGACCAGCAGCTTCCACTCTGCAGGCACTTAGGATTGGAAAGTACCTTGAAGGCCACCTATCCAAACCTCTCCATGCTACTCTTCACTCCCTCCCCCACCCCAGATACACATGCCATGTTCCTTCTGCACTTCGAAACTTCCTTTATTCTTTTCTCTGCTTGAATTGCTCAAATGCTTCCTTCATGATTTTCTTCCTGATGCCTCCAGACCCTTCCGATTATCCTCCCAGTTTCCCACCCAGCCATGTCACTTCTAGTCTATAATGCACACATCTGGCAATGTCTGGTTCAGTCCCATCACCTGGAGGCCTTGCCTTGGCTGAATGTGTCTACAAGGTCACATTTTTTTAACCATATAAAAACTATTGTGCCCAGATGCCATAAGGATTCAAGAAAGACTCAACCAGGGAATCAGGGACTAAAAGGGCCTTGGCATCCAGTCTCCCACTTCATTCATTCCTCAGGCATAGGTCAGCTCCCACCAACGATAGCACTGCTGGCAAGGAAACAGCAGAGCAGTTTTCAGTTTAATGAGGCCTATTTGGTGCCTGGATTTGTGTGGTGTGGTTGGGCATGATACAGAGCCCTTGCTCTCAAAGAAGTGTAATAGAGGGAAGGAGACACTGGGGGAAGTAGACACGGCAACACAAAATCTCAGATTTGGGAAATATTCAGGAGTCAACAGGACAGGGTAGATGGTGCTGCCAGGGGAGGAAGATCACTTTTGAGTTGGGGTGGAGAATAAGATGACCAATTCTTTTGGTTACACTAAAATGTCTCCAAGGGGAGATGTTCAGCATGCAGTTTATTTCGTATAGGAGGCTGAACCATGGGGGAGGGGAATGCCTGGGCTAGATAAAGAGATTTAGGTAGGCCTTAGCAATTTATAGGCAGTAGTAATAAGCACAGGCATTTCTAGGAGGGAATAGTAAACATTTTCAATGCAGTAAACACAGAGACTAACAAGGGCCCATTGGATTTGGTATTAGGTCAAAGCAGCTCTAGAGGTGAGCACCAAATTATAGTTGGTTGAGTAAGAGGGCAGTGAGGAAATTGAGATTATTAGCTGAGGACTATTCTTTTGAGATCAGAGGGGAAGGAGTGATAAGCTGGTGATAACCCAACAGAGGAATGTGGGGTCAAAGCAGATTTTTCTTGTGTTGCTATTACTGTTGTTTTGTTTTAAGAGGAGAAAAACAGACACATTCATAAATTGAGGAGCAAGAACCAGCAGAGCAAGTGAGAGGCTGGGCTGAAGCCCCAGCAATGCTGGCAGAGGTGGCTCCAGAGCACAGGTGGAGGAGCAGGCTTTGAGGAGAGGCAAGGCCACCTCATCCTGAGACTGGCGAGGTTGACTGCAGCTGCAGATCAGTTCACGAGGGCTGGACCTCAGGTCGAGGGGGCCCTGTTGGATGCCTCCATGTGCTCGAAGAAGCTAGGGTGAAATGGGAGAGAGGGAGGGGCTCAAGGTAAGTGGTAAGGGTTCAGAATAGTCAGGGAATGGGAGAAAAAGTTGTCAGAAAACAAGTCAAAGTTCAGACAAGCAGAACTGAGGCCTGGCCCGAGATTAAAAATCATACCTCTGCAGTGGCAGCAATCCGCAGGGCTATGTTGCTTTCTCCAGCAGAGCTCAGCTACCCGGGCTGAGGAGCAGGGGAAGCAGAGTGGGGAGGATCAATCCCAGCATGGGGGTTTGCAAGTCAGATATAGCCAAAGGATGAGCAGAGTTGAGGGTGCTGATGATGAGTGGCTGAAGCAATCAACCACAGACAGGACTGGGCAGAAGCAAGGTCAAGGGAGGGAGAAAATGGAAGCATGGAGGTCTGGATGCAGGCAAAGAGCAGGTGTCATGGGATGTAAGGGTGAAAACTAGAAGAACAAGAGGTGGTGGTCACCGAGCAGGATGCTGAAATGTCAGCTTTCAGAGGTGAAATAGCTCTGAGTGATGGAGATGGGTTGCTGAGCGTAGTGGAGAATGAAAGTCACTGGAGTTGAGGAGCTGCAGTGTCAGATGGGTCACCCAAATGAAACAGATATTGCTCCAGAAATCAAGAAGAAAAACAGGTGCTGAAGGCATCCATGAGAATGAGGGAAGTGGTTTCGGGTCATGACATGACAGAGAAGGAAAGAGAGACAACCACAGGTATTTACAGGAACCAGTACAATATTCAGTTTGACCATTAGAACCCAGGGTGGATTGGGTAAAGGGGACTCACAGGAGGTATGGTTACCATGACAGGCAGGGCCAGAATTAGAAAGATCTCTGAATGTTGAGCCAAGAAGCCTTCATTTCACCAGGAAGGCAATAGGGAACTACTAAAGTTGCTGAGTAACTACCAGAGGTACCTTGGGAAAACTAATAGAGGATACATCATTGGGCTTGGAGTCAGAGGACCTGGGTTTGATAGTAAACAGCAGCTACCATTTATTGTGCACTTACTCTGTGCAGGCCACTGTGCTAAGCATTCTCACACTGGACTCAGTTCAGCCAGGTCATAAATTATATGATCTAAAAGGAAGAATACTCTATTCACTCCCAAGACTCAGTTCCCCCACGTGTCTATGGAAGGGGGACTGGGTTAGATGTCCTCAAAAGTGTCTTCCAATTAGGCCACTCTAGGGCCATGTGGCCCTAAAGCTTGCAGGACCTCACCCTCTTACCAGATGGAATTCAAGAAACTTACAGCTGAAGGAGTTGGGGACTGGCCCAGCAAGGTGAGCCCAAGCAGGACTCAACCACCTGGGGCCAGTCAAGGGAGGCAGAGCAGTTGAACAGCCTCCAGCTCCTTCTTGCTTCCCACTGTCTTGTAGAAAATCGGCGAGCATTCTTTCCTAGGAGAGAAGAGGGAGCCTGAGAAGAAGGAACCAGTGACCCCCACCCCCAGCATTTCATTTTGAAAAGTTTGGCTGTGCCCCTTCCATCCCCCCAGATTCCCTACCCTATACCTCCCAACTGCTCATAGCATTCAGGGCACTTTGTCCCAGCCCAGTTTAGTTGGCTCTGAGAAGAAGAAGGAAAGAGGAAAATTTGTCCACTGGCGCCCACAGGGCCCTCTTAGATGAACCTAAACCTTTAACAAGGGAGGTATCTGTCTGATGATTTTCAGCAGAGAGCTGAGTATAGTGGCACTGCCTGGGCTGCCTTATGCCCTGGATCTAGGGCTAGTCTCCCTCACCAGTTTTGGTGTTGGCCACGATCAGTTCAATGGTCCATCTAAGGATGTAGGTGGGCCGGATCCCACTGTCCCCCAAGGTTGGCAGCTCAGAGAACATCCTCTCCAGCAGGGCCTGTGTGAAGGTCTGGGAGTGCAGGCCCCTGAGCAGGGGCTGCCAGAACTGAGAGAACGGCTTTGGCACCAAGACGTCATTCAAGTCCACGTTTTCTGGTTTGTGAGGGACACCCGTTGACGGAGGGGAGGGCAATGGCAGCAAGAGTGAGACAGCAAGAGAGAGAGCACAAGAGCAAGAGAGGGAGACAGAGAGAGAGAGAGAGAGAGAGAGAGAGAGAGAGAGAGACAGACACAGAGAGGGGGGAAAGAAAGCGGACGCGCGCGCAAGCCCCAACAACAAGAGTTGCCACCACAGAACAGAAGGAAAGAGAAGAGCAGAACATCAGGAAAAGAGAAACCAGTTAGTATCTGGCAACAAACAACTGACTCAAAAACAAAGTATAAAAAGAAAAAGAGCTCTGGTTCTAGCTTCATCTTTGTCAATAACTCACTGTGTGACTCTGGGTCAGTACCTTCCCCTCTCTGGACCTCAGTCTGACCATCTGTAACATGAGGATGTTGGACTAGATGACCTCGCAAGGCCATACCAGTGCCACTGCTCTAGCTGTCTAGCTAGTGGCTAAATCACAATTAACATGGCACAATAATGGTTTTAAGACTCCCCCAACCCTATCCACCACACCCACCCTACCAAATTCCAGGCCACCTAAGGACAATCCCATATGTTCACATCAGCAGAGCTCCCTGTTCTGCTCAGCCAGGAGGGCTGAGAGGCTTCCACCCCCACCTTGCCACCCAGCCCACTCTGGTATTCCTGCCCAGGAAACAGAACCCTAGGGCTGCACTGAGCTCCTAGAACCTTACCTTCATATTCTATCTGCAAAGCTGCCAACTGCTCAAATGTGGGAATGAGGAAGCCGTCATCCAAGAAAGCATCCAGCACAGCATTCCTGGAATAAGAAGACACTAGTTTAGGCAGGTACTAGTTTAGTGCATGCCTGTAGTCCCAGCTACTCAAGAGGCTGAGGTGGGAGGATCACTTGAGCCTAAGAGTTTGGGAACAGAGAGGTAAAACAGGAAAATCCTGACTCAAAAAATGATGATGACAATGATGATGATGATGATGATGATGATAAGCTGGGCATTAGTGACACATGCCTATAATCCCAGCTACTCGGGAAACTGAGAAAGGTGGATCACAAGTTTAAGGCATGCCAGGCAACTTGATGAGACTGTGTCTCTACGGTTTAAAAAGGGCTGGAGGCGTATAACTAAGTGGTAGAGGCCCTGACTAGCATGTGCTAGGCTCTGGTTCAATCCTCAGTACTACAGAGCTTTAAAAAAAAGAAAAGAACACAAGTCTAGCAAACTGAAGCTGATATAGGACCCAGAACTAATGTTCTCTGGTTCTTCAAGTGGCCAAGGCAGCATTGGGGGAGATGGGGCAGGTGACAAGGGGATCTTAGACTTGAGCCTCCTGGGGCTAGAGCTGGGATCATTTACCAAGCACATGTTGATCTATGACCTGTAATGAGAGCAGTAGTGGCTGAACAAACAGATGGAGACAAGTCTCAGGCCCACAGAAAAAAGTTAAATGCCTGGTATCATGATAAACTTCAGTTCCTGTAGTCTTTTGGTTTCCTTTGGCCATTCTTGATCATTCTCTATTCCCCTACACACACACATCCATCTAACTGGCTGTTTTTTTTTTTTTACATCTTAGAAGTAAAAACTGTGGGCATTCAACTGCTGGCTAAAATATGAAATACAATTCATAGGCCCTCTTCTTATTATTCTTTTTTTGCACTGGGATTGAACACAGAACCTCACACGTGCTGGGCAAGTGCTCTACCACTGAGCTGCATATGCTCCCAGACCTCTTTATTCTATTTTTGAGACAGCATCTTGTTAAGTTTCCCAGGTTGCCCTTAAACTTTCGAGCTTCCTGCCTCAGCCTTTTGAGTAGCTGGGCATAGGCTCTCTTATTAGGAACTCCAAAAACTCAGAAAAAGTAAGATGGGATAAAGTAGACTATACAGGTATCTCTAAACCCCATCTAGCTCAAACCTAAACCAGCAACAGCAAGCTAATTGCTCCAGAACTAGTGGCTTTCCAAGAGCCCCTCCCAGCTGACCAGGCCTAGAGGGTGGAAAATAGGTTCCAGGGTATTCCAAAACCTGAAGCTCCCTCCCTCCAGCAGAGTAGGTCTAAGGAGGAATTGCTGTCTTTTTACCTCTCATCTTCTTAGTACAGTATCCAAGAACACTTATAGCAGCCAACCTAACTGCTCAGCACTAGCAGTCATACTATGTAGGGGCACAAGGATACTTTCCCCAGCTGCTGGACAACTGCTAGCCATCTCTTTGCTGAAGAATACAGTCAAGAATCCTAGGCTGGGCAGACACTGATAAAATACCTTTGGAAGTAATCTTATCCTGGAGGTGAAGAGCAGACTGCAGGGGCAATCCCAACCTACATTGCAGGCTCCCCTCCAGGTCCAGTCTAGTACCTATGCCATCTACCCACATTCTGTTCCATCCCAGATTCCTTCCTACTCTCCTTAGTCTATCATTGCCTCCTCAGGTTATTAGTAAAAAGCTCCCCTTTTCATTTGAATTTAGGTAGAATGCTTCATGAACAAGGGATGAGAAAAGGATTGGTAGATTCTCTTTGTCTGCTCTCATTAAATTGAACATTATTTCTTAGGGGGGAAAATAAGGGTCATGGCCATAGAGAAAAAGGAGCCTAGGGGCCGGGCTCTGACAAGGCCCTTCCTCTGTCCCCCAAACTACAACCACCAAGGTTGATAGCAATTTGAAAAAACAGACTAGCAGTGCCCACCATATGTCTTTGCTCTCAAACTGGAACAAGGGCTGGCAGTGAAGTGCTAAGGATCACAGGCTTTTCCTACTTGCCAAGAACACCACATCCCACCTGACAAAAAGAAACAAAGCTGGTCAGGGGATGGATGACAGTGCATATTCATTCCTCTGGTCATTCTAGTGACTCACTGTAGGCAACCCCAAGCTAGAAGCTGGCAGGGCCAGAGGCAGAGGATCATGCAAAACACGGGTCACCATGTGAAGGATCAGGATTATCTCTGGGATTTTTCCTACAGCAGGTTGGCAAGGTAGGACATGGGAATTGATTTCAGTGAGGCTGCTACCCTCTATCCTAGTGAGTAGCCAGCCCCTGGTTACCTAGCTACATACCTGTTCTCCCATGAAATGCCCTTGAGCTCTGCCAGGATGCCTTCTACACACGGGGATAGTTTATTCCATGCCTTAATAGCCTGAGGTAAATGCCTAAATTTCTCCAGCACCTGTCAGCAAAAGAGGTTCCATCAGAAGACTGGTTCTGTCAAGGACCCAGCCAGGCAACCTACCCCCAACCTCTCCAGGATCCCCTCACATAAGACTTTAGGACTGCCCTATGGAGACAAGGCAGGGCATGCAGGGGTGGGCCCACAACTCCCCTACTGCCTCTACCAATAAAAATCACATGACCCTTAAATGCCAGGCTTTCTCCTCCTCTCCTCTCCCTCCTCCTAATTATTCATGGCTCCCAATAATCAGATACCCCAATACTTTGATATCTAATGGAAGCATTTGGTTGGAGATGGGCAGAAACCTTTGGGCAAAAGAGTAAGGAATGAGGGCAGACAAGGTGTTACAGAAGAAAGGGAATCAGGAGACCCAGATTCTTATTATGGTTCTGTCTTTAACTGTATATGCTATATCACTGGCTTGGGTCTGTCCTTTATTAATTCACAGCTTCAATTTCTTCTTTGAAAAGGCAGGGTTGAACTAAATCGTTTCTGAGCTACTTCCCTTCCAACTAAAACAGCACCCCTCAGGCTTATACATCTAGAGAAGCTCTCGGGCCTCACCTGCTGGTAGACTGCAAAATTACAGGACTGTGCAACTACCCATTCCCAGTTGTTCCCTACCACCCATAGGGCAGATTATCCACAAACTTCATCATCTGCTCCCTTCCATCGATGTGGAGGATCATCCAATTGGACTCTGCTGCTCTTGTCTCCTTCCTAGCTTCCCCCCTCTCTTTCTGAGAAGTTCCCTCATGTTTTGCCACATTTCTTTCAAATTCCTTCTCAAGACTTCTCAGGTAGCTGGCAAGAGGGAAGAAATGGCTGGGGCAGATGAGAGCATGCCAAGTCAAAGGAACTTTTCTTACCTTAAACTGCTCCTCTTCATATGATACCAGCAAGTCTCGGGCTCTTTCTGAAAACAGAATGGGGAGAGATATAGGATACTACAGCCCCTGAGGAAGTGCTGAGCCAGGGAAATAACCAGTGCTAACCTAAGCCTGAACTTTCCAGGCTCATGGGCCCCTTTTTGCCCCCATGGACACCTACCATACAACTCCTTATGTCTCAGGGCCTTTGCCAAATGAGCATCCACCTCTTCACTGACTTTACTATCTCCATCAGCCCTGACATCCAACTCTGCACCTTTCCCATCATCCTGAGGCTCTGGTTTCTGTTCTTTGATGTCATCAGCAGTGTTCTTCTCTTCTTCTTGGTCCTCTTCCTCTGTCTCCATCTTGTCCTCCTCCAACTCCCAGGTTTCTCTCAGGCTGTTCTCTAATTGATGGCACCAGAAGGTCTTCTGGAGCCAGTCCAGAACAAAGTAGCAACCTAGAGGAGGGGAAGAAGGAAGGCAGTGCCATAGGACAAGCTGCAGACAAGGAACTAGTAGGTCTCCAGTCCTGTGGGCTTCTAGCCTCATAAGCATTATGGAAAAGCCCTAGGAAAGAGGCTTGGCTCCAAGACTCAAATCTCACATATCCAGATACAGTCTACTTCCTTATGGGTTATCTCCCTGTTCTTTGCTTTCTCCTATTCACCAGCAGTTCCTTTCCTAGTCCTAACACTGGGTCTGAAAATGAGAAGCCAAAAACAGCAAGGAGTGGTAAGTGAGAGGACTAGGATACTATCCCACTAGCTAGTTACATAACCTTTTGCTAAGTCTCTTCCCTTTTCTAGATCTCATTAGAAGAGAAAAGGCTAAAACAAGGGGCCTTAAATGGGATAAGATGGATGTCCAAAGAACTCCTGAGTTCATGATACTGTGATGGCTAATGCCTCTTAACTTGCATCTCCCTCCCCTTTATGGTGAGGCTATTGAAGTACCACCTCAGGAACAAAATTTAAGGGGAGGCCAAAAAACTGTAATCAAGGCATCAAAACAGTACCCTGCCAAGTCACATGGGAGCCTGAAGCAAAAGAACTCAGTGATAGTAATCCTGCTTTTATTTTTCATATTTTGTTCCTGATACATTTTTCCACATTAAAATGCTATTTATTTTGATCTCTGAGCTTTTGACCATTCCTTAAATTTTGTGCCCAAGGTGAGTACCTCACTTGATTCACCATAATTGCAGCCCCAATGCCAAGTAAGAACCTCCTCCCTATCCATATATCCCAAATGTCACCCAGCCAGGCCCAGAGGGCTGATATTAGATAACCCTCTGGGTACTCACCTCTGCGGCAATCATTTATATGGGGCATTTTCTTGTGGGTCAACTCATGGCGAAGTTCAACAACCCAATCTGGAATGTTCACCTGATAGGGAGCATAGAAATTTAAAATAGTATAGTTGGAAGAGACCCAGGGATAAACTAGCCTGAACATCCATCCCATTGTATAGATAGAGACACTGAGGTCTTAAGAGTAAGATTCCAGTCTCACAGAGCCAAGATTAAAAACCAGGTCTCTTGATTATTTTTACTACTCTGTGGAGGTCGTCTTAAAAATAAGAAAAAAAAAAGACACCCACCTACCCTAACCAATAACCACTCTCCTTCAACAGAGAGTTCTGTGAATTAGCATTAACAATTACCTTCTCCAGCCTCCCTTTCCCCTTTCCAGGTCCCTTTTACTCCTTCCTTTATCCCACACCTCCTCCGGGGAGTGTCTCTTGATGATTGAACATGCCTGCCCTCTGGGTCTCTGCACATTTTAAATACTCACTCAGGGCAGGAATATCTGGCATTTTCATGCTGCTTGGATGAGCTCTCTCTTCCCTCAGACTGTCAGCTCCCTGAGAGTAGGTGTTGTGACTGCCACCTCTTTCCTCTCCCCACCCAGTGGTACATTGGTACATTCAGGCTCCTCAGCTTCACTGGGCCATCCCCAGCAAGCTACACTGGTCAAGTCCACTGATACATACTGTGAGGAGCAAGGGAGCAATTCTGCTTCTTTTGAGCTGGAAGCTGAGGCTCTAGAGTTCTTGCCAGGCTTGGTTACTAGTGAAAGGATGAGCTAGTCTGATTGTATATACACCTTACCCCATTCCCCATTTAGGGAGCCCTACTGAAGAAAGAGAATTGAGCAAGGCCATTTTACTATACATACCTCCTGAGCCAGAGACTTGAGGGAGAGCTTGACAAACTTTGGCTTCCTCTCTGAGATAAGATTCACAAACCTGGGTTTGGAGGAGAAATAAGTGGCATAGCCCAAGGAAAAGTTTCATCCAAAGCATCTTGTTGAGTTACTGACAGCTTGCATTTACACAACTTTCCACTAACTGTCCTGTTCTTAAGGTTGTTGCCAGCCAGAACATGGATAGTTCCATGGCCTCCAACATTTACAGAGAGTCTGCCCTATACTGAATCCATACAAATGAATAAGACACTGTTCTGGCCTTGCCAAGTTAAGTTAGGATAAATAATCATGACATAATATTCTAAAACATAACATATCATAGATGTTAAAACAAAGGAAATTGAATATGTGGAGAACAGCTAATGGCAGAGAAGGTAAAAGGATAAAGGGAGGACCTCAAGGCAACAGTGGGGAACGGTATGAGAAAAAGCTTTGACACATGAGAAAACTCAGTGGCAACCTTTTTCCTGAAGTGAATGAGACAGCTAAAACCACTGAGTCATTTTGTTAAGTCAGGAACTCCCAGCTCAAGTCTTCACTTCCACAACTCAGCAACCTTTCAGTGTTCATGGGGGAGAGAAAAGGGAAAAGGGTGGTGCCAGGTACAGATGGGGGTAAAGTTAGGAAATCCACATTAAATCACACCCAAGAGCAATAAAGCCATTCAGAAAAGTTCCTCTGGGTGAGGAGTTGAAAATCAGACTGTCAAAGGTGAAATAGATCTACAAAGATCACCTGGTGATCCACCCCTCCCCACCCAGCCAAGTATATATTACAAAAAGGAAAGGAAAATAAAAGAGAAAAGGCTTTCAAATTAAAAAGAAATAAAAAGAATATGTTGATGGGGGCAGGTTTCCAAAAGTTGTCAAGTCAAGCAATCAGGCTGAGCCACACTCAGGGACTCCCAGGGCTTTTTGCTTCAGGTTGTACCTAAAGCAAGCCTTGTTTATCACATGCTTGCCCCACCTTCAGATCCCAAACCGTCCCCCCTCCAGTTTCTACCCCATGCAGGTCTTACCTGACCAATGCCATGCCATAGAGTAGTCTAAGTTCATCAGTGCCCAAGCCACCAGTTACATCCAGGAGCTTACAGCGTATCAGGTCAGCAGTAGAAGCCACTGCCAGAGGCAATTCGTTGCCTAACCTAAAGGGCCACAGTCCAGCACCATCATAAAGATCCTTTACACTAGTCCACCCTCTACTTCAGAACCTTGGTTGTTGCAGGATATTCCCATTATATACTGGCCCAAGAGTGCATGAAGACACAAAACAAAAAGATGGGAATGACAGGGTAATGTCTGTGGGATCCAACACAGGGCATTAGGAAGCTAGCTAGGATCTGGGAAACTACCTATCAATAGTTGTGTGACACACCCTTCTTTAACCTTGCAACCCTCAATCATTCAGCTAGAGAAGCCCAGTATCCCTTGTTAGTCTAGCCCCAATCTTATAAACTGGACAGAAACACCCCACTTGACCATGGTTTTTCAGGTAAGACCCTCTCCCACTTGCCCTAATCAGCACCAGAAATCCACACTAGGATGCTGACTTGCTCCTTAAGGCCCATTGCTCTCACCGGCTCCCTCCCCAAGAAAGGGTTACTTAATGGAGGTAAAAGTCAAATCTCACAAATATGACAAGAGGTTTGTTGAGACACACCCTCTTACTTTTCATCCACCAACGGAATTAGTGCAAGAGCTTGCCTGCGACTTTCCTCCAGGCACTTGGGAAAGTGGCATCATTAAGCGATTTAGGGGAGGACTTGAGAACGGGGCCTTTTAGGAATTTGACCAAGAAGAGGTGAAGCACCACCAGCACGCAGGCAAGAGACCTGAGCCCGCCGCCTTACCTGCTCCTCCACACTGTGATGCGGTTCAGCGCATACCGCTGCAACTTATGGTCATCACAGAACAGGTAAACCGTCACCTGCTCCCACTCCGCCCTGCTGAGCCAGGCGACCACGATGCTTGGAGCCAAGAGTGGCGACGACCCTTTCTCTTCGAAGCACTTTCCGTACCATGCACTCCACACGAGATCCATCCCCTGGAGATCCATTGCTGACCCTGTCCCAAATTCCCACCAGACCTGGGATAGATGCCTGGCCCTGTGCCACCGCAGTCCGCACAGCTTCAGCTCAATGTGCTACCCTCACTCCAAAACGCCGCCGTCCCAGCAACCAATGTGAGAGAATGACCCCGACGCAAGCCCGCCTCCCAGCGTTAGCGTAGCCAATCGAAACGTGGGATTTGGAGGCTGGCTTTACAGCATGTGTGATTACTTCCTTGCCGGCCGGAAGTGTTCTTTTCACAAAACAGCCTCTTCGAGCTGCAAGTGTTTAGCCTCTAGGTTCCGCCAATTTCCAGGTTGCTCTCGAGTTTCTGTCCCTGACCGGAAAGGGTGTGTCTGGACTACAGAAACAAAAATTATGTTGCGCCCCTTGGCGGCCGGTGGAAGGATTGCGGTATGCCCGTGTACTTCCTGGAAATGGGCTTTCAGGTATGTTATGATTTCCGTAAATCAGGACATAATTCAGTAAAACACTTTGGACACTGAAGAAGGAATACAGAGAAAATACCCATATCGTTACCGTTGGGTTTAAAAAAAAAAATCTGCTTTCTTGCCATGCCCGCCTGTAATCCCAGAGACTCAGGAAGCTGAGACACAAGGAGCAAAAGTTCAAGGCCAGCGCTGACAATTTAGGGAGACCCTGACTCAAAGAAAAAAGGGCTGGAGATGTAGCTCAGTGGTGGATAGTCCTTGGGTTCAATCCCCAGTTCTGGGGCGTAAAGGCGGCGTGGGGGAGGGGGGAGTCGGGGGATTTGCCTTCTTGGCAAATACCCAGGGGCCATTTTAAATTGGTACCAGCACAGTGATATGAGGCCCGAATGACTAGAATGAGAGTTATCTTCCAAGAACAAAGACCTGGGTTCTGGTCTTATCTGAATCTTGCTGCTATGTGGTCTCTGTTCCTCTTTGTGTTTTAGTGTGGTTTTTGTTTGTTTGTTTGTTTGTTTTTCCATCTCTAAGGGTTTTAGGCTGGTCCCTCGTTCTCTCCCATAGCTTAAAAATGTTGGATTTTTCTCTGCCAGCATTCCACTGCTGTTGGTTTCCAACATCCACAAAGGTATGTATACTTAGTTTCTCAGCATTATTCCTTGGGATTTGAGGATTGTAGAAGGAAAGCGTATCATGAAGCCCTTCTGATTTTACAGGTTGTTTAAAATATATTTAAGACTGTCTCAATCCTTTTCTCAGAAGTTATTTTCCATTTTAACACTTGAGAAAGAACAGTTGGCGCAATTTTAATATTGCCAGGAGTCTCTTAACACTTAATAGCAATAAATCACAATTCATTCTCTGTATGTGCTGCTTTCTCCGGTCAACTTACCCTGGAATGTAATTTGCTTATGTATCTTTTAAGTCTGTATGTCTTTGCCCAACTCCTTATCCCTCCCTAGAACACACTCCTTCCTTCCCTCTTTCTCGCAAACCACTATTCACCTTTAAGATTCAGGATTCTAGTCTGTGGGGTGGTATATGCCTGTAATCCCAGCAGTTTGGGAGGCTGACACAGGAGAATCCTGAGTTCAAAGCCAGCCTCAGCAACTGTGAGATACTAAGGCAACTCAGTGAAACCCTTTCTCTAAATAAAATACAAAATAGGGCTGGGGATGTGGCTCAGTGGTCAAGTGCCCCAGAGTTCAATCCCCAGTACAAAAAAAAAAAAAAATAGATTCAGGATTCTAGCCAGGTGTGGTGGCACACACTTGTAGTCCTAGCTACTTGGGAAGCTGAAGCAGGAGGATTGCAAATTTGCAACCAACCTAGGCAATTTAGCAGGACCCTGTCTCAAAATAAGAATAACAGAAAGGGCTGGGGACGTGGGTCATTAATAGAGTCCTTACTAGCAGTGCAGGGCCCTGCTTGGTTCACTCCCCAGCACCCCCACAAAATTCTGGAAGCTTTTATCAAATCCAGTTTTCCTGAGATAATCATCTGTGAGTCTGTGTAAGTCATGAGGAAGGATAGAGAGGGCCTTAGGGAATTTGCCATAGTAGTGTGGTCCTTTGCAGTTAGTTCATAAATATTTCATGCCCTTCTCTGAACTCTACAACATTTTATATTTCATTCTACTTTCAGAAGGAAAGAAAGAAACACTTGTTGAATGCCTACATTGGGCCAGGACTTACGGAAAGTACTTGACAACCTTGAATTTCATTTGAACCAGCAGTAAGAGTTGATAAATCCTCCCACTCTTTTGTGTTCCAAAATTGAATTGCAAAGGACTACATTGCCCTGCTCTGGCAAATTTGCTAAGATAAAACTCTCTCCATTCTTCCTTGGGACTCCCTTAATACTCATGGATAAGTCTTTTGTTTACCTGCCTCTAAATTGCCCTGTGTATTTTGTCTTTTCAATTAAGTTGGTTTTGTCTTCATTAATTTACAGATAAGAAAGCTGAAGTTAAGTTACATGGTTTAAGATGGAACCCTTAAGAAAGAAGGGAGCTGGGGAAAAAAATCAAAGAAAGAAGATGGGTACAGTGGTGCATACCTGCAGTCCCAGCTACTTGGGAAGCTAAGGCAGGAAGATGGCGACTTCAACACCAATCTAGGAAACTTAGTGAAATCCTGTCTTAAAATATTTTTTTAAACTGGGAATTGAAACTAGGGTCATTTTACCATTTAGCTACATCCCTGACCCTTCTTATTTTTATTTATTTTTATTTTTTTATTAGTTGCATATGACAATACAATGATCTTGACAATTCAATGATCTTATTTTTATTTTGAGACAGGATCTCACCAAGTTACTGAGGACCTCACTAAGTTCCTAAAGTTGGCCTCAAACTTATTATCCTCTTGCCTCAGCCTCCCAAGTGTCTGGGATTACAGGTATGTGCTACCACACCTGGTTTCAAAATAAAATTTTAAAAGGACTAGAGGGGTAGTTCAGTAGTAGAGTGCTTGCCTAGTATGCTAATATATGTGAGGTCCTAGGTTCAATCCCCAGTAAGGCAAAAGAATAAAATAAAAAGGGAAAAAGAAAAAAAAACTGTTGATTTCCTCTGAAGCCCATGCTCTGCTACAACCTTTAGACAAGGGACTAAATTTACCTATATTACAGATCTGCATCCGAACAGACAGCTTCAATGGCAAGGGCCCCCAGTGTTTAACACAGTCTCAGGTCCCACTTCTGTTTAATCCTTATTTACTAAATGATTCCCAAATAAACCACATCAACTCCCAGTAAGATAGTGTTGCAGCATTTTTCAACCTTTCTTTTTGATAAGTATTAAGAACTCAAGCCTCTTTTTCATAAAATAATTTTCTCTTGTTTAGTCTCTCTCTTTCATATTGCAGTAACAATATGATTTAGTTCCCCTCTGTGCTCTAAAAGCAAAACAGCACTATGGATTCAAAATTCCCACTCAATCCCTTAATCTACCTAAACAGGGCCTCCATTCCATTCTTCCAATTATGTATTCTTCCGTGAAGTACAAGCTAGTTGAGACAGGCAAGGATCATCTATTTTAGGAGTCTATCACTATCTTTTTTTTTAATTTTTAAAAATGTTTTTGTAGTTGAAAAGAAAAAAGAGTGGCTTTATTTTATTTGTTTTTATTTTTATGTGGTGCTAAGGATCAAACCGAGCGCCTCACATACTCTAGGCAAGCACTCTTCCACTGAGCTACAGCCCCAGCCCCTCTATTAGTGTCTTTCTAAGGCAAGTACTTTTCAAATATTTTTGGATCCAGACTCATTGTAAGAAAGACATTTTACTTCATGACTCTTTTCACACATACATATGTGTAACTAAAACAAAAGCTAAAAAAAACCTTACATTTACTAAGTGCAATTTAAGCTGGCTATGGTGACACTTGCCTGTACTCCCAGCTACGTTGGATCCTAAGTCAGGAGGATCACAAATTCAAGGCCATCCTCAGCAATTTAGTGAGACCCAGTTTCAAAATAAAAAGGGATGAGGTTGTAAAGCAGTGGTAGACCATTTCCCTAGCATGCACAAGGCCCTGGATCCAATCCCCAGTACTGCTAAAAATAAATAATTAAAATAAATGAACTAGACACTGCGAAGCACGCTTTTAATCCCAGCTACTCCCAGCTACTTGGGAGGCTAAGGCTGGAGGATCACAAGTTCAAAACCAGCTTAGGCAACTTAGCAAGACACTATCTCAAAATAAAAAAGTAAATAGGGATTGAGATGTAGCTCAGTGGTAGAACACTCCTGGGTTCAATCCCAAGTACTGGAAAAATTTTTTTTTAAAATGCAATTCAGCTCTGGGCCTGGGAATTTAGCTTAGTTGGTAGAGCACTTGCCTAGTATACATGAGGCCCAGTGTTGGATCATCAGCACCACAAGAGAAAAATGCAATTTAATTCTAGTTTACTTAGTTTCATTTAAAAAAAAATGCTACTCATTATTGCCATGTAATTACATCATGGACATATACAACTAGCATCTAAAATTCAAAACATCCCCATATTCATCCTAGACACCCACCTAATACAGTAATGAAACCACTCTTTACTGTCTATATTACACGACTTTGCAATTCATTGTCATTAGCATGACATTACTTTTCCAGAACTCCCCTGTTTAGGCAAATGGACATATTTTTCATTAAAGGATTATCACATCAACTCTTCAATGGAAAGCATCAACACAGACTTTCAAATTCCGTAATCCTCTTTCCTCACCTCAAAATTCTTTCATTGCTGTTTCTACCAAACCTGAACAGTTCTATCATAATCCTTACCTAAATCTAATCAAGTCCCTGCATTGAAAGACCCACCTTGAGAATACACTTCTCAAATTCTGGCCTGACCTTCCACCCTCTGAGCCCAAGCTTTGCAAGATGGTATTTTCCTTTTCCCTGTAAGCAGTAAACAGCTTTGTCTTATCAACAGCCTAGTGATATTTTGGAAGTCAGCACAGAATACTGATATAACATGGGGTTTGTTGTGAGTTGTGGGGAAACTTACAAGTAAGCAGAGGAGTAGCAGAGTACACACAATCTCCCAAACTCTCCTTGTTCCATGGCATAGTCTGGTCATAGATAACCTATGTGAACTATATAGTCAGAGTATAAGCTAAGAGGGACCTGCCTGGTTAGGCAGACTATACTACTATGAGCACTCCAAGAGAACAGAAGCTCCACCTCTACACTGGGAAATTGAGA